AAATATATGGTGAGAAGAAGCACAACAGCTAAGATGTGGCAGAGAAAGGACAATAGGTATTATAATACCAACATATCACTATATACATGTGAACATTCCCCATAAAATTTCTAAGTCCTCCATTTTAAAATATACTTTTATTTATATATTTAAATTATTTTCAGCTATTAAGAGATCTATTTATTTGAGATGAAAGTAGTCTTTTCCATTGTTGTTAAAGTTGAGTTTTACTGGGAGGAGTAATTAAAAACTATCTGAAGCCTTGATAACTTTTATGAGGTCTTCTCTATTTAACTGTTACCTCATCATATGGTATGTGTCTTTAATTTGATTTCAATGTCCCACCACCAGCAGAGGGTGAATTCTAGGAACGTGCATATGTTAAGGAAAAGTCTAGGCCGGGCGCGATGGCTCACACCTGTAATCCTAGCACTCTGGGAGGCGAGGCGGGCCCATTGCTCGAGGTCAGGAGTTTGAAACCAGCCTGAGAAAGAGCAAGACCCCGTCTCTACTATAAATAGAAAGAAATTAATTGGCCAACTAATATATATAGAAAAAATCAACCGGGCATGGTGGCGCATGCCTGTAATCCCAGCTACTCTGGAGGCTGAGGCAGAAGGATTGCTTGAGCCCAAGAGTTTGAGGTTGCTGTGAGCTAGGCTGACGCCAAGGCACCCACTCTAGCCTGGGCAACAAAGTCAGACTCTGTCTCAAAAAATAGTCTATAAAGCCAACTGGTAGAATTTATGTTTAACAGAAGTCAATTAAGACCTTCCACAGGCAGGGTGACATCTTGTTAAGAAAGTGGGATACAGATAGATCAGTTCCAGAAAAGCAAAATAGAACCTTAACTATCATTAGCTCTCAAATTTATGTAGCAAAACAGAAACAACCTTCTGGCTAATTTGCCTAACACAGTTTCCTCATCCCCAAATGTAGCTCTATGGAAATATTCAAGATTGTTAGTAGAGAACATGACACTACATGTTCCTGTGTTCCTCCCACGTCACCATCCATACTCTTTAATCTTCTTGGTTGTTTCCTCCTCATACTCCCTACTGCTGCTACACATTGGAGTGCCCCCAGGACTCAATCCTTCTCTTTTCTATCTATCTATACTCACTCCCTAGGTGATTTTAACTAATTACATGGCTTTAAACTTATATCTACAGTCCAGACCTCTCCCTGAGAGATGACTTACCTACTTGACATCTCCATTTGAATGTCTAATGGACACTTCAAACTTAACATGTCCAAAACTGAACTAATCTCCAGTCTGCTTCTCCATCAATCTCCCTATTTTAATAAACAAAGAAGCTTATGTGTTCAGTCCAAAAATATTGGAGTGATCTTTGATCACTTTCTTTGAATATAACTACCATATTCATAGAATTCATTAATATTCACACATTTCATCAGCAAGTCCTGTTGGCTCTACTGTCAAGATACATCTGACTCCTTCCTGACACTTCACCAAGCCACTGACATCTCTCACCTCAAATAATGAAAGAGCCCATCTACTCACCTGCCTCTACCTTTACCCCGATACAGTCTATTTAACACGGCAACCACAAATCCTTTTAGAAGATACATGAGATCTTATTATTACTCTGCTCAAAACCTCCCAGAGCTTTCCGATCTCAGAGTAAAAGCCTAACAAACGTCTATGACTCCCTACACAATCTCTCCAGCCCTTTCTCTTTCATCTTATCTACTATTTCCCCTTTCCTCAGCTCCAGCCACACTGGCTTCCTTGCTGTTACCTGTACAAACTAGGCACTTTCCCACCTCGGAGTGTCTGTACTTGTTTCTTCTGCCTGCAATGCCATTCCCCCAGCCAATCCATATGGCTTGCTTCCTCACCTCCCTCAGGGCTCTGTTCACATGTCACCTTCATCGTGGGCCCTTCTCTAACCATCTTATTTTAAATCACAACCTCACCATCCCACTACTCTGCTGGCATTCTCCTAATCCCATTTCTCTATTTTTCCTCATAGCACTTATTAACATCTGACAAACAATACACAGTTGGCCCTCTGCATCCATAGATTCCAAATCCACACATTGAATCAACTGCAGATGGAAAAGGTAGTTAGGCCTATGATGGTTTCATCTGTACTGAAGGTATACAGAAGTTTTCTTGTCATTATTCCCTAAACAAAAGACTATAACTGGCCAGGCATGGTGGCTCACACCTGTAATCCTAGCACTCTAGGAGGCTGAGGCAGGATGATCACTTGAGGTTAGGAGTTCGAGACCAGCCTGAGCAAGAGTGAGACCTAGTCTCTACTAAAAATATAAAGAGATTAGCCAGTCAACTAAAAATAGAAAAAATTAGCTGGACATGATGGTATGCGCCTGTAGTCCCAGCTACTTGGGAGGCTGAGGCAGGGGGATCACCTGAGTCCAGGAATTGGAGGTTGCTGTGAGCTAGGCTGATGCCACGGCACTCTAAGCCCAGGCAACAGCGCAGACTCTGTCTCAGAAAAAAAAAAAAAAAAAAGAGTATAACTATGATTTACATAGCATTACAACGTCGTATTAGGTATAAAAACAATCTAGAGATGATTTAAAGTATATACAAGACTGTGCAGGCCAGGCGTGGTGGCTCAAGCCTCCTAGCACTCTGGGAGGCCGAGGCGGGCGGATTGCTCGAGGTCAGGAGTTCGAAACCAGCCTGAGCAAGAGTGAGACCCTGTCTCTACTATAAATAGAAAGAAATTAATTGGCTAACTAAAATATATATAGAAAAAACTAGCTGGGCATGGTGGCGCATGCCTGTAGTCCCAGCTACTTGGGAGGCTGAGGCAGGGGGATCACCTGAGTCCAGGAATTGGAGGTTGCTGTGAGCTAGGCTGACGCCACGGCACTCACTCTAGCCTGGGCAACAAAGGGAGACTCTGTCTCAAAAAAAAAAAAAGACTGTGCATAGGTTACATGCAAATACCACACCATTTTATAAAGGACCTAAGAATCCTAGAATTTTGGGTGTGGAGAGGATCCTAGAACCAATCCCCCATGGATACCAAGGGATGAGTATACGCCATTATTTGTTTGCACTAGAATGTCCCCAGTGCCTAGAACACAGGCTTCACATAGAGGCTTTCAAAACTATTTGCTGAATGAATGAATGATACTGAAATATTACCAGGCAAAATACATTACCTGAATACATCAAGTATTATGAAAAGCAGAAATCCCAAAACCCACAAGGACACAAAGTATTGCAAAAAGAGACACTATAGTCTGTTTCTAAAAAATGCATTAAAATATAATTTTTTACTGTTCAGTTTTGTTAAAGGCATTTGCACTGTGCCTAAAGAGTCCCAGGTCACACCTATAAGGTATTTTGGCTTTAGTAAGCAAGTGGGAAAGAGAAAAATACAGGCTTCCTTTCATCAGTCACCACTGACAGAAGGCCTCCAAGTGACCCTGGTGCCACAAATGTTTAGGATGTTTACGGAAGAAGGGATTCTAGAAAAATAAGATAATCCCTTCACCAATCTCTAAAGAGAATCTCTCCAAATCTTTCTGTAGACATTTTTTTCTAACTTCACATCCCTTAGCAAGGCCATTCTTAACATGTAGATGAAATCTCAGTGGAAGAAACAACATGATTACATAATTACACATACAGAAAAACCTGGTACTCTATTATCTCTTTTTAAAAATTTTTTTAACTAAAACTAGACTTACAGTTCTTATTGAAAATGTCTTGCTGTGAAGCTGAGTTAAGAGAAAAAAATGCTCTCTTAGCTAAGATGTGGGTTGACAGATACTGTATTTTAAGGGTGAAGTTTTGTCTACTAGCGTTTATTATTTAATACATTCTTCCCAGTTCCTCCCCCGCCCTGAAAGAGAAAAACCGGCACAGTGGTGCAATCGATAAGGAATTCCACGTCCAGAGGAAGCTGTTCTGAAAGGCTATACCCTAAGTGTTTAACACTGACACAGATAAAGTTCAGGCGGTAGATGTCACTTGTCTCACCCATTTAACAACATCATCATCTAGATTCAGATCCCACGGAGGCAAACAGAAAGAAATAGGCGTGGAAAATGAAATCAGTCTTTTCTCCCCGGCGTCCTCTCCACACTGCGCACTCCCCCCCGCCCACCAATCGCCCTTTAACGGCCCCTTTTCCCAGCGTCGGTCCCCCGGCACAGCCCCGCACTGCGCCACCCAATCAGTCAAGAGCAGTGACCGGTGCCCCTCCAAGAAAACCCAGGCACTAACACACGGTGCGCCAAACTGAGGGGGAAATACCCCACTACTTAAACTCGGGAACAGCGTAAGCAGTGTCAACAAAGCGCCGTGCCGGGTCCCGAGCGTCCAAAGGTCCCCTGCCAGCTCCCGTGACACTGCCAAATCGACAAGATTCCAAAAGGTGACTCGACCGTCATCGCAGAACCCGAGGCGGGAGGCGGCGCTGACCGGGAACAGTCAAGGATGAAGTCCAGCTCAGCCTCCCGCCGCGCGCTCGCCGCGCACGGCCACCACCGCCTCGGAGGGCGCCAACCCCGCCGGCGGCCGGGCGGCCTCCCGCACCCCCTCCCGCGAAGCAGCCCGAGCGCCGCGTCACGCGCGGGGCCGAAACTTCGCAGCCGGGGCGGGAGGGGGGCGAGGGGGGGATACAGGGGACCGCCGCAAGGCCGGGCAGTCAGCGCGCCCAGGGAGTCACTGGCCGGCCCCGCGCGCAGCTGCGGGCCAAGGGGCCTGCGTGCCGTGCGGGCACCGTGCCCTCGGGGCCGCCCCCGCCCCGGCCCCCGCGCCCGTTATTAATAACCCAGCGCCCCGGAGGCGAGAGCCCCCCGGCGGCGCGGCGCCGGCGGAATCAGCAGCGCGCCCTGCACGCGGAATAAATAACAATGTCATTAAATCGCCGCTCGAGCGCCCGTTCGGAGGGAGAGCGGCAGCGGGAGGCACCGCCAGGGGCTGACTTTGTCTGGAACCCGCACCCCGCCTCCCGCGCGTCTCCCGCGCCGCCGCAGCCCGGCCTTACCCGCCAGCTCGTCGGGCTCCAGCCCGCTGTCCGCGTCGATTCCGCACAGCACGAAGTAGTGCGCGAAGCGGCAGGCGGCCGGGGAGGAGCCCGAGCCCGGGCCGGGCGCCGCGCCGCTCCCGCTCATCCCGGCCGCGCTGCTCCGGCGGCCGCCGCTGCCGCCCGGGAAGCCTTCTGTGGTGACTGCTGCGGAGGCTGCTGCCGCCGCCGCCACGGCTGCGGTCTCCGCGCCCGTCCTACGGCGACACCGGCAAGCCCATGGCCGCGCAGCCACCGCTCGCCACCGCAGCCTGGCTCCTCGCTCGGCGCCGGGGAAGCGGCCGCGGGCTCGCGCCCAGTTGGTCCGGATCCCGGCCGCGGTGGGGGAGGGGCGGGCAGGGGGAGTGTCGGCGTGAGAGGCTCGCGCCGCCGCAGCTGCGCTCGGGAGCCGGGAGCCGCGGCGTCTGGCGCCCGCGGGTCAGCTGAGCGGCGCTCCGGCTGTGGGAGCGCCGGGCGGACGGGGGCGCCGGGGACCGGCGCGTGGGGCGGGGGCGAGGGGGGCAGCGCGCTCGCGAGGGGCGGGGACGCGCGCTTCGGCCGTGCGCGCGCGCCCGGCGGCCTCTGAGGGAGAGCCAGGCGCGGGCCGCGTTCGTGCCCTCCGGCCCGGCTGCGGCATTGGGGGCGACCCCTTAACACACCCCCGGCCAACCGATAAGAGGGCTAGCCTTAGAGCAGCATTCTGTCTTCTCAAGGGGATGTTACCCATTGTAATTAAAAAAAAAAAAAATGAAGCTTTGGGGAAGGTTAACAACCTCTGTGAGGTCATTTCCCACAACTGGTCTGGACCGTCATCTTTTAAACTCTGCCCTGTGCAGGTGCCTATCTCATTTTAAGATCCTAGTCCTTGAAACCTTCCCTCAGCCCTCACCGACCCCCCCCATTCACAAGCCATCCTTCCTTAGTGAATTGGTGACAACGGTGAAGGGGAACAAACACAAAACAACTCAATATCCACAGTCTCGAGACTTCTAAAAGGACTGTAATATCCAATGCCCTCTCCCCCCCCCTTCTGAAATTTATCCTGACATTTTCCAGGTCAGTGTAAAGTAGCCAAGGCGCTCCAGTTCCGCAGCTCTGTACGCATTGGATGTTATCTGCTCTCCCCGCACGTACAACCAGAGGCTGATAAGGCAACAGGAATTAGACCCTGAACTCTGCTCCTCACAAGGGCACGGCTTTCTTACGCTGCTCAACTCTGACCTTTCACTCTGCAGAAGGAGCTCAGCAACCGGTTCTTTTTCCTTTGAAAGATGGAAAACTGAATCCCTTCCATCTCCATATGGCCCTCCCTTCCACACCCCTGCCTGCTCATTCCTCTCAGTATTGGAGGGGAGGGGGGTTCGTGAACACCACTGGTAGACACACAAGCAAACCTTCCAAAGAGGTAGACCGAGAGAACCTCAGTTATTTGACCGAATAATGTTCTTCTTGGAAGATATGTATGCATGCAACCATCATGTAGTATAGTTTGTATCCTCACTTTCTTTCTTCAATTTTGAAATGTAAGAAGAATCAAGAAATCTGGGTGAGCCACATCCTGGGTAATTGACCTTTAGCTCCCATTGCACACTGCACTTCTGGAAAACAATCCTAATGATTTTTCTGTGTCATCTTTGCTGGGTTATAAACACAGAGCACGAGTTGTACTCTCTGGTTCTTTAGATTGCCAGTATCTAGCAAAACCCTGGCCCCAACTAGCCTCTCAATTATTAATTGAGCGATGACAGAGGGATGGTTATCTAGATAGTAACAGATTATTGATGGTACTAGGAAAATTCATAAACTTCGATATCTGTAACATATTTATGAACACATGTTAATTACTGTTATACAATTAGTGCTTTTCCTCGCATAGAAAGTGCTGAAATGCACAAAACAATTTCACTAGTAGGGAAAGAAGAAAGTGGCTGGGTGTATATATATATGGGTCTCCTGATTGTCTTTGGTGGTAACTTCTTGAAGAATGTCAGATTCTAGGCTAATCGAACAAAACACAATAGAAAGCTAATTTACTGTTTGCACCAGCCAAGAGACATGTTACCTTTTTTCATCTGAACAGTAACTGGTTTATGAGACTGTAAGCTCTGCATTAATGTTTTTAAGATTAAAAAAAAATTGAAGCCATAACAAACAGAATGCATGCAATTATATTAATCTTATCAAAATAGACAAAATTCCTAAGATCTTTCCTAAAACTTTCCAGGAAATAGTTACACATTACAAGACTAAACACTAATTTGAAAATATCTGGATTCTTTTATTGTCACTTCAGAATGGCACTGCATAGGTATATTCTGCATTAAGCTGTAATGATTTGTACCCCCATAATATGATGAAAAAATAAATAAAAAATAAAAGAATGTGGTTGTTTAAAAAAAGCTGTAATGAAACAAAGTTGAAAGAATATTCAAGAACTAGCTATATATCATTAATGGCATGCATGTTCTCTAAAATAATGACAGAAGTAAATTAGCTAAGTTAACAAAAATGACTTAAAATAAATCTTCTAAAATATTTAAATTGGGTTGAGAGGAGAGATCATATCTGTCTTCCCATGCTAAGACAATGTTTGCCAACAATCATTAATGTAACTATTCAGAACCCAAAACATTCATTAGATTTCATTTTACTAGTAGTTAGAGTCACCATGTGTCACCAGGTTAGCAGGGCTCAGTCAATCCCTCACTCCTCTGCTTCTTGAAGCAGACCTAGCCAGGGCTCAGCTACTCCAAGCATGCCATGCCCTCCACTTGAGACTTTACCAAGTCTCTTTACCACCTCCACTTTACCTCTTTACCACCTCCACTTGAGAGTCCTTTGGAGATAGCAGATCACTGCTCAGATACTTAGAGCATTGCTTTGCATTCTGGTGTCATTCTTTGTGCATTTTTTGCCTGAATTGAGACCTTGCAGTGGAGGCAATAATCCATTTATTAATACTTTAATCTCGAAATAGCACAAAACATGCCAAACTATCGCAATTCTAACAAAAGGAAATCTTGACTGACATTTTCTTCTGCCAGGGTTTTAGCTTTCTGGGAAAATCTTATCATAATAAAAGGTTATTTGGAAAAATCAATAATGATATTCCATCATCATAGTTTCAGAAAAAGGGTTAGTTCATGCCAATAAGAGTTTTGTAGCAAAACAGCTGCCTCACAATTTTGCATAAACTCTTACTACCGTATACAATGAGTCTGGTATTATCAAGAATCTCCTATATGTAAGTCATTGTGCTAATGCTTTGGGAATATGAAACTATGTAAGGTATGATCACTCTTCTTCAGAAGTTTATAGTCTAGTATGAAGAAACATATTTTTGAAAAATAATTAAAATACCAAAAAGAGAATAACAGGTAAAATGTGGCATATTCCATATGACAGATTTTAAAAATGATATGCTGTTTAGTGAGCAGAGAGGTCACTAAGTCTTAAGGAATTCTGTAAGATAGTGTGAGAGTAGTAGTATTCAAGATGGATTTACAAAGAGGAATAGGAATTCACCAGGTAGATGAAGGGAAGGAGACATTCCAGGCACAGAAGAAATGATTGAGGTATAAAACGTGTGCAGAGGACAGTAATTCAGTTTGAGTCAGAGCATGAATGGCCTTGAACACTAAGCAGGGGAGTTAGACTGTCCCCTAATCTTATACCTACCTTGCTAATACCTGAAAGATAGTCTTAGCGAGCTTAAAAAAAAGACTTTGTAAAGGGAGCAGTTTTAGGTTCACAGCAAAATTGAGAGGAAGTTACAGAGATTTCCCATATATTCCCTGCCTCTTAATGAGCTATTAGCAAGTTTACCACAGAATACTTGAGATCACCTAAGCCAGCCCCCTTATCTTACAAATGAAAATATCTAAATCTCACAGAATTTTGGTGATTTATCCAAACACACATTTTTGGTGGGAGAACTAGTAGCAAAGCCTAAAAGACTGGTCTATAGAACACCTTAAAGGCCTTTTTCATTCTAATGTCTGTAAATCTATGAAATCTCTTTACTTAAATTGACTAATCTTTCTCCTACATGCTACTCACAACTTCTTTTCCAAGACGCTTTTTGGAATTTGGTTATTATTTTTTTACTTTTAGAATGGAAAGTTTTCAAATGCACAGAAAGAAAACATAGAATAACACGCACTTATATACCCATGTACTTATCACCTAGTTTGAATATTGGATTCACGTGTTTTTTACTGAGTGAATGAAACATATCATTTCTTTCTTTCTTTTTTTTTTTTTGTTTTTGTTTTTTGAGACAGAGTTTCACTCTGTTGCCTGGGCTAGAGTGCTGTGGCGTCAGCCTAGCTCACAGCAACCTCAAATTCCTGGGCTCAAGCAATCCTTCTGCCTCAGCCTCCCGAGTAGCTGGAACTACAGGCATGCGCCACCATGCCTGGCTAATTTTTTTCTATATATTTTTTAGTTGGCCAATTAATTTCTTTCTATTTTTAGTAGAGACAGGGTCTTGCTCTTACTCAGACTGGTTTCAAACTCCTGACCTTGAGCAATCCACCCGCCTTGGCCTCCCGGAGTGCTAGGATTACAGGCCTGAGCCACCGCCGTGCCTGGCCGAAGCATATCATTTCATAACATTTGTCAATATATCTGTTTGTTTTATCCTAAGTTACACATGAATGCTTCTTCACCTTCTCAATGAAATCTTCTTTTTCCCTTAAAGCTCACATAAAATGTCCAACACCAGTTCCCATTTGTTATCTAGACCTATTCTCTCACATTTGTTTTTTTAAGAGTACTATAGTATAGATTCTTATGTAACTGTTTTCTCAGGATCCCCTTTCTCTCATTCCCTCCAAATTGTTCTCTCAGGAGCTAGAATGGTATGCTATAACTTCCCACACATGTCTCCTCTTCTCCCAACACAGTTGATTGGTCTAGAAGGCTGTGGCCCAAGCTGGGTTAATGAGCTAGTTCCCTGCAGTTTTTGGACTTAGGGCCCAGAGAATTGAGGTAATCTCTCTGCAGGTGGACAAAGTTGTCAGGACATATCAGTGGTCATGTTTCTATTATGGGAAAAAAGATAGCAGTGAGAGAGAAGAATGGGGCTGACACTCAGCAGAGAAGATATACAAAGTAAGCATCCTCTGTTATCAGGCTTTTTTGCCTACACTAATTTAAATTGGGATTCTGGCACTTGCAATTGTAGCCAAAAAACAAATGTATGTGATTTGGCCTGGAGGATATCAATAGGAAGATTCTGGGCAAAACCTTCAGGTTACCCCTCACTAAAAGGCATTAAGACCACTCTAAGCATTCTCCCAACCCCAAATTCAAGTGACTT